CCATACAAATTTTTAACAATTTAATTTTTGTATGTAATATAATTATAGATTTTTAAATTCTAATATGGTCGCTTTGTAAGTTAATCTTCAATTTTCAATGCGTAGTCTGGGAGCCTATTACGGTTTTTGAAACGAAGTGAAAATTACAAAAGTGAAGAAATTCACTAGAGTATATGGCTATCTCAGAGAGAAACCTGAGTGGGGCCGCGCTGCCGTTTTTCGTGAGACCGTTTTCCTAGCTGATACAGTGGTGCTAACTGGATTCATTTTGGAGCCGGCGGAACTACATGGCCAGATTCATTTTTTGATGCCATGGTAAAACGATCGGTTCATGGTGCATGTCCATGCTAAACACATCGTGGATCAAAAATATGCGGAAACATATTATGGATTTATTAATGTTTTATTAGCTGCACGTGTTGTTTTGTCATTCTAGTATATACTACAGCGATAATAAATTATTATTGAAGTATTTTTATGTATATGCGCATGTAAAATAAAATAAATTTTCTTAATAATATTTTTCCTATATTTTAAATATAATGTGTAGAAAATATTTACAATAAATTGCTTTCACTTTCTTTTTATTCTTGAAAAGTATTAAGCATTTTAAACATTATCAAATCATGCTTTTAATTTATATAACTTTTTATATTATTAATTTCTTTTTATAATTATATTATTCAATTAATTTTTAATTTATGAATTCAGTTGGATGCACTAGTGCGCATCAATGCACATTAAAAGTTATTATAAACAAATTTATATAAGCATAATTGATTATATTTTCCTATAATTTTAACCGTGTTGTATTGTTTTTTAAGTAGTTTTAATTGTTGACAGCGTTAATTATTTTTTTTTTTTGCGTTTATATGATCGCCGGTGATACTATCAGCTATCAGATTTTCGCAAAATGTCATAAAATGTCAAAAAATCGCGAGATCTTGTGCAATATTGTTTTTTTAGCATATAAAATGTTAAGAATGTTTTTTCTATCTTGTGGAATTCTATTCAGAATTTTAATTAAAAGGCCGGAAATGCAAAAATAATTCTTTTCTCAGGACATTTAGATATATATTTATACGACATTAATTTCAAGAACGATTAAAACTCCCTTTTCTCTATTATTGTCTTTTTCACTTTCATTTTATTTAAAAATATTAATATGAAAAATATAACTACAGTATCTCTCTTAGTCTAACTCTTCCCCGTCGACCTGTCCGCCATGGGTGGCCCTACCAGTAACTAATAGCGTTTTTGAGTGAAGTAAGTTTGATCGCTTTGAGAACTATTAAACCAGATTTGCCATGAACATATGTTCGATCGAAAATGGGTTTTGTGTGAATTTGATTAATATGGATATAATACATCAATAATATTAATAATATAAAATAGATCCCGCTAGTTTGGCTTCAAAACACAAGATTTTTTACTCTAATTAATCAATCAAAGGCTTACTCGAAATATTTCGCATTGATTAATCTAATAATGCAAGTATCCCTAGAATCCAAGACAGAGTTTATGAATTTTATTCATTAATTGGTCTCAGAACGATCAAACTTGCTTCACTCGAAAACACATACGTTACCGCCGGCATAGCTCTCAGGTTCATTAGAGTACGCAAACCTCCTCACCCGGCAAATGCCTTCGTTAAGGTAGAGATACCATCGAGGAGGAAAAATGTGTGAGGACAGTTTTCCTCTTTTTTATTTCTCAGGTTAGGGCAATTTTTTTTATTTTTTTTTTTTTTAATACACAATAAATGATACAACAAATGATATAATAAATTTAATATACAAAATATATAACAATATACAAAATATAATCAGAAATTTAATACACAATATAATTTGAAATGCAATACAAAATAATTTATTACATGGAATTACACGAAAATGTCCAAAGTATACGTATAATAAAAAATTTACTAAAATTTTTTAGAATAGACAAGTTTTTAGCAACGATTAATTACGTGTGATATTTATTCTTAATAATCAACATACAATTATAAAGCTTAATAAGTTTTATAAAATGTAAATAATCGCGATCAAAAGAATCGTTAATAAAGTTATCAATCGTCTTTTAATTGTAGAAGAAAAAGAACTTGCACTACTAGCGCATTTATGCAGACTTTCAAAAAAAATATTCAAAACGCGAAAAAATAGACAAAGCTTCGACATAAATCAACGATTAAATTATAAACTAAATCGCGATTTAAAATTCGCGAGCAAACGCGACGAATAAATAAATCGACGATATTCGTAATATTTGATTGCGATACGCGTAATTTCTATAATAATCGAAGCTCACACACGTACGCGTGCGCGATATAATTACTATTGTTTTGTGCAAAAATATTTCGACAGACATTCGAGATCTGTAATAGCATCCCCGATTTATTTTTCAATACGCGATTTTATACGAATGTCGCGATCAACAATAAGATATATGTATATCCTATCTCGCGGATGACTGTTTTAATAGTTTTTAATAGACCCAACAATTTTAACAAGGCCCTCCCTCCGCCGGGTGACACGCTGGTTAATATCCGACAAAGAGAAGAACGATCCTAAAGGCGGAGAACGACCAACGTCTTGTTTCTACATCAGTTTTTGCAAGATCGATCCGCAAAGAAAAGTTAAGTGATCCGTTGAACGTTAGAGCCGCTGCAGGAGGGAACGAATCCCGGATCTTCCGGACTGCTCCCGATAGCAATGATTTCGGTAATGAATCAACGACAGTTACCATTTATCTTCATTTCACGAAATTGAAAATTGCGCGAGAAAACATGTTCTTCTATTATTAAGAAATATATCTCTTTATTAAAAAATAAATGGATATAACAATTTTTTATGAAAATGTGGTTACGAACAACTATATTTATGGATAATAAAATACATGCATCGTTATTATAGCTAGTGTTAAATGTGCGAGTAAAAATAATTCTCGGGTACCAACTGTTCGAGA